TTCGTTCTTATGGGTTTCTTTTATGGGTTTTCCTGGCTTAGTAGGGGGGGGTCTCTTTTGTGGGTTTCTTAAATGGGTTTCTTTTGTGGGTTTCTTAAATGGGTTTCTTAAATGGGTTTCTCTTATGGGTTTGTTTTTAGGGTTTCTTATGGGTTTGCCCTTGTACTTGATCACTCCTTATTTGCTTGCCCTTGAGTGAGAGCCATCTCTCTTAGTTTTTGCTTTAAGGGGGCCTTAAGGTTTCTTATGGTTTCTTATATGGTTTCTTGATATGGTTTCTTATATGGTTTCTTCAACTTGGGTTCATGGCTTGTCTCCGAGTGCATGGTTGCGGCATGATCGAAATGGCAATAGCTGTTTGCACTGTAGTATCCTTGAAACCCCAAGATCTTCTTTTCGTCTTGGCACCCAAACCCGAACCATGTATATGGTTGCGCGATGGGAGTGGTGCGAGGGTCCCTCACTTTGTCTACAGCTGTATTGTAAGGAAGCATGCAGAATGAAATCCGAACAGGGAGAGTGAAGATCCCCAAAAGGAAGTCGGACACGCTGCTACCAGCCGAAGGACCCGAAAGAGCCACTACTCGGAGCTGGGCGTCCCTCGAAGTCAATGAGATCTGCGATGGTGTGCCAGCCACCGGACTCGAATAAGTCCTTCACAAGAACAGGGTTCAAAGGCCCCTGTACTATCGGCCGCAGTACGATGCGACGTGGTACGAACCGCTAGAATAGTCTTAGAGTCCTACCAGGCCTACCAGAAGAGGGGCTGCAGGTTCTGGCCTGTCTTACTTTAGCTGGCTTTGGGATTGAACAAGCATGCACGTTTTTCTGGTTCTGTACTTACATAAATAGCAACATAGCGTTGCCATGATGACACCATTCTAGTCGTCTTCTCATGGTGCCTGCCATTGGGGACAAGAGCCTTGCACGGCAGTCATCGACATGCAAGAAACAGTTCTACAAGTGGCAATAATCTCTTCCATCATCGTCATAAACGCACAATGGCAGTTTCCCCAGAAATGCCCTACAGAACCCGCCCCGATATACGCCTCACTGCGCCCCTGTAGAATCTCTCTCTTGCCTCGATGATCTGGCAATTTCGATACGTCTTGTCCTGGCGGGGCTGTGGAGGCACTCTCCTCACCTGTGATGATAACCTAAACCCTAAACCGTGAACCCGAAGTCCTAAAACCCGAACCCCAACAGTTTCAGCTAGTAACTCGTGAACCCGCCCGCACGTGGCTAAGACGCGATTGCTATCATTGCCGTCGCAACTGGCCGTGACCGCGACACTGAATATCAAAGATCAGTATTACTACTTTCTGATATTGCTATGATTATATTTATCCATTGTTTGCTATGAGTTTTTCTATGAATATCAGTTGGAATACTCTCCACTGTTGCTACACACACAACACACACACAACACACACACACACACAACACACACACAACACACACACACAACACACACAACACACACAACACACACAACACACACAACACACACAACACACACACACACACACACACACAACACACACACCACACACACACACACACACACACACAACACACACAACACACACACCACACACACACACACACACACACACAACACACACAACACACACACAACACACACACACACACAACACACACAACACACACACACACACAACACACACAACACACACAACACACACAACACACACAACACACACACACACACAACACACACAACACACACAACACACACAACACACACAACACACACAACACCCACAACACACACAACACACACAACACACACAACACACACAACACACACAACACACACAACACACACAACACACACAACACACACAACACAACAAAACACACAACACACACAACACACACAACACACACAACACACACAACACACACAACACACACAACACACACAACACACACACCACACACACCACACACACCACACACCACACACACACCACACACACCACACACACACACACACACACACACACACACAACAAACAAGACCAGGACAAACAGGCAAGTGAGCCCGAAATTGAGCCCCAGAAGGGTTCATGGCACATGTACTGTGTTGATATCGCGTTGGCCATTTCTCAGGAAACGCCCCCACCCGCCCGCCCCTCCCCGCCCGCTGCGTTGTCACCCTTTACGACATTCCTACACGCAGGCTCCTGAAATCGGCCGGGCTTTCTACGGTCGTTACTGTGATCAGGCGGAGTATGACGATTAGCTGTCATGGTAGCAAGTTTCTTCCTTTTCCTGAGGATTCCTTGACAACCGTTTAGGACCACAGAAGGATGGCCCCGGGCCCCCAAACAAGAAAGATCTTGGGGATGGAGTAGGGGACTATTTGTTTCAAGTCCTTGAGCCTGGAATCTTCCCCCGCAACCAGAAGCAAGAAAGCGGCATAACTCCAGAATCCGAAGCCCCAAACCCTTGTCTATGCGATCCTGCGTTACTGTGACCCTTAACAGCAGTTTTCTACCAATCATCTATATACGTATATGTCTGTATATGTACTTGTTATTGCACTTCTATTCTGCAGACATGTCGGGTTCTGAGAAACCCTGCGCCAGTCCCGCTTGTCAAGGATGGTCAGTCCCAAGGAAGTCGTCCCTAGCCTTGGATGCTCTCATCTTCGAACTGGTCATCACACTCATCACACGAATGACAAGGACAAGAGTAGGAATGACAAGGGGGACACGTAAACAATGGAACGTACAACTTTACTATACTCTACACACACACACACTCTCTCTCTCTCTCTATACATGTATATATACATTAATATTCTTCTGCTATACGCTATCCTTTATTCTATACTATGTACTATTGCCATACTAAGTAAAGGTATGGAGGTGTCCCTTCAGCACTGGAGACTGGAAGGCTCTCGACTCATGATTTCTTCGGTGTTCTATAAGGGTTTAGGGTGATAGGTCTGAACATGGCACGACGGCAAGAATACCCATGAGGTTGACAACGACGACGATTTCGTCGTCTTCGTCGTCATCGTCGTCGCAGTAGTAGCAGTACATAGTTGAAGAAGCAGGGGCAGGGTATCAGCAGCAGCTGCCGCTGCAAAAGCCTTCGTAGCAACAACAGTAATGACATATTACTTAAATGGGGGTTTACGAAAATGAGGGACCCCGAATATAGACCTCCAAATAGTAGGATTCCCTTTCAATAGGGACCCCAATAAGGTACCCCTAATTCGGAAACCCCAAATAGACTTAAATGCTACGTGGACATATGACTCCAGACCCCAGACACACCAGACCGCACACTCCACTTTCCTGCGAGAGGCAGCAGCACATCGATGGGCCGTGTGCTACCATCGTCGCGCTTGAGGTCAGTCGCCTTCTCCTCAGCTTGCACCATGAACAAACATACAGTGCTTCGGATTGAGAATAAAAAAAGCGAAGGAACCGAGGAGAACGGGCCCGTGCTAGGAAAACAGACATGGCAGCCTCATGGTGGAGGGGCCCAGAAGGGCGTGCCCCGATTGAAGTTGCCCGACAAATGACTTGCCCTGTCACGGAAGAAGTAGAACTTACAACACTAAACAATCCTAACAATGCTCCAAGCCTACCCATGGCCGAATCTCAAAAAAGTTCAATCCTCCAAAATGCCACGTGGGCACAGTCTTTTGCGTTGAAGGCGAAGCTGAATCAAAAGGGGCGGTTTTTGCACATTCGCCGTGTTCACTTGGCGTCAAGACGACTGCTATCCTTGCTTTCGCTATCATGATTGCCATTCTTATGGTCTCTTTAGACCCCTAAGCCCTCAACCTTAACCCTGTAGCCTCTAGGCCTTAGACTTCCGCACGGGGAATTGGAATTTTGAGAGCCAGCGTCGATAGCAGCCTTCGTCTGACCTGGAGTCTTGTGCAGGAACTCGAAGAGACCTGGAAACGCTGTCTAACACCTGGTGTCCCTGCAGCTCTCTGATGCCGCTGCATCTTTGAATGCTGGCATAGGTAAGTGCTTCTTTGTAGCCTGCACTGTCACGTGTCAACTTTGGGTCTGAATCTGCCGGCGAGTTCGATCTTGACGTACCAATACCCTCACCACAAAGTGGGGACCCACAACTCTATAACTCTGATACGTAAGCCCTAATCCAATAATCCCTACACCCTAAAGGCGCCCTAGAAACTCTGCCACTGAGCTTCGTGCCTAGGTGTGACCCGGCCAGAATGATCTGCGTCTTGGCATGGCCCATGATGATCCTCGGTTAGGGTTAGGCTCTTCGTGTTGGGTTATCCAACGAAATAGTCATTAATGGGCGTCTACGTGTGGATGTAGGTGGCCCATTCTATAGCATAGCAGGACGGGGGGTTGGCTTGTTCCCCACCTTCGGTGTGGGGTTGTTGGATTTTAAACTCAACTCTTCTCCTCGCCCGGAACTCTTCTCCTTGTCCTGTCTACTCCTGGAGACTCACTAACAATTCCTGGAGTGCCCAACCCCAGAGTCTCCCTGGACTGCCCAAATTCAGAGTCTCCCTGCAGTACCCAACGTCTCCCTGAAGTGCCCAACCGCAGGGAGAATCCAGGGTCTGGCTGGAGTGCCCAACCCCAAACACGGTCCTAGACTCCAGAGTCTCCCTGGAGAGTTTTTTTGGAGTGCTTAATTTGACACGCCCCAGACTCCTGCGTTGCCCGGAGTGCCCAGCCCCAGTCTCCTGGAGTGCCCAACCCTGGAGTGCTCAACCGCAGTCCCTGGAATGCCCAACCCCACAGTCTTCCTGGAGCTAGAGTTTTCCTGGAGTGCCCAGCCCCAGCGTCTCCCTGGAGTGCCCAACCCCAGAGACTTCCTCGAGTGCACACTTCCAGAGGCTCCCTGAAGTGCCCAACCACAGGGTGCCTGGAGTGCCCAAATGCAGAGTCGGAAAATTACTGCTAGTATGCGAAGATAGGTCCCTAAAGTAGCCCCCTATGATAGGCGTCCATAGACCCCTATAGAGACCCCTATGGTTTTGGGATAGGGTCCTATTCCCTGAGCCCTCTCCGTCCGTGGTGGGACCCTATGCATAGGCCCTATCCGTTTCTGCATAGACCCCTATGCATAGGCCCTATGGCTTTTCCCATAGACCCCTATGCATAGACCCTATCCCTACCTATACCACCCCCCTACACAGACCCCTATCCATTGTTCATAGGCCCCTACCCCCCTTCGCATAGACCCTACCCACAAACCCATAGACCCCTCTGGTAACAAATGTATCACTTGTGCTCGAGCGAGAGTTTAGGGTGTAGGGTTCTTGTAGGGTTTTTGGGGGGTTCAGAGTTTCAGTGTTTTAGGGTTTAGGATTTCTTGTTCAGGCCTCAGATCTTTTTAGGCTTTAGGGGTTTTCGGGTTGAGGGTTTAGGGAGGGTTTCGGTTTTTTGGGGTTCAAGGGGGTTTTTAGGGCTTACAGATTTTTAGGGTTTAGGGTTTTTTGGGGTTTAGGGATTCTTCCCCGCATGATGGGTTCGAAAAAGAATTAAGCGGGGGGGTTGGGGGGGGGGGGGGGCGCAGCCCCCCCCCATTTGACACGCACACTGCTCGCATGATGGGCTTGAAAAAACATGCCTCTGTTTAGGTTCTTAGGACTTAAAGATTCTTAGGGTTTGGGTTTTTTTGGGGGGGGTTTAGGGTTTAGGGATTTTTACCCCCCCCCTCCCATTTGCAAACACCACTCGCATGATGGGTTCGAAAAAGAATTCGCCTCGGCTTCCTGCCGAGAAGCGTCTGGAACAAGCAGACCCGGATCGGGCCTCTTTTTCTGACGCCCCCCCCCGCCCTGTGCAACCCCCCCCAATTGCTTGGAGGAGCGCAAACCGATGCTGTCACCCCCCCCCCCCCCCCCCCCCCTTTGCACACACAATGCTCGCATGATGGGCTTGAAAAAACATGCCTATGTTTAGGGGGGTTTAGGGTTTTCGGTTTGAAGTTGGCATAGGGCTGGGTTTAGGGTTTAGGGTTTAGGGTTTAGGGTTTAGGGTTTAGGGTTTAGGGTTTAGGGTTTATAGGGTTTATAGGGTTTAGGGTTTAGGGTTTAGGGTTTAGGGTTTAGGGTTTAGGGTTTAGGGTTTAGGGTTTAGGGTTTAGGGTTTAGGGTTTTAGGGTTTTAGGGTTTCGGGTTTCGGGTTTCGGGTTTCGGGTTTAGGGTTTCGGGTTTAGGGTTTAGGGTTTCTTGGGGATTAGGCTTTCTTTTTGGGTTTAGGCATTAGGGCTATCTGCAAACACAACACTCGCATGATGGCTTCGACACAGAATGAAGCGGGGGGGGGGCGGGGGGGGGTTTGGCGGCCCCCATTTGCACAGACAATGCTGGCATGATGGGCTTGAAAAAACAAGTGCCTATGTTTAGGGGTTTGTAGAGTTTAGGGTTTAGGGTTTTTGACGGTTTGGATTCATTAGGGTTCAGAGCTTAGGGGTGTAGGGGTTAGGGTCTTCGGGGTTTGAAGTTCAGGGTTTTTTAGGGTTTAGGGTTTTGCGGGTTTTGGGCTCAGGGGTTCTTAGGGTGTAGGGCGTATTGGGTTTCGGGGTTTTTATAGTTTAGGGTTGTTTAGGGTTTAGGGTTTAGGGTTTAGGCTTTAGGGTTTAGTGTTTAGGGTTTAGGGACAGGTTTTTTAGGGTTTAGGGCTGGATTTAGGCTGTAAGGTTTTTAGGGATTAGGGTTTCTTAGGGGTTCTTTAGGGTTTAGGATTTTTTGGGGTTTAGGGCTGGATTTAGGGTTTAGGGTTTTAGGGATTAGGGTTTCTTTTTGGGTTTAGGGATTAGGTTTTTTAGGGCTCAGGCTTAGGGCTTAGGGTTTAGGGTGTAGGGACTCAGGGCTTAGGGTATAGTTGTGAGGCGACGAAGGAAGGGACGGATAGGGCCCTATCGGAAAGGGGTCTATGCCACGGATAGGGGTCCAGGTCCGGACAACAGCCCCATATGTAGACCCCTATCCTTTCCGGACGGGGGCCTATGCATAGGTACCTATCCACATCGGGGAGACCCCTCGGGATAGGGGTCTATCGCCTGGGGTAGGGGGCCAGGGATAGGGACCTACCCTTCTTACGATAGACCCCTATCCAAAACAGATAGGCGGCTACTTTAGGGACTCTTACTCCTAGTATGCCAGTATGGTCCCTACGTCCCTACATAAGTATACTGTAATGACCCCCAAAACCCAATTCTATTTAGTAAGGCCCCTACATTAGGTAGTGGGCCCCAAGATGATGGGGCTGCCATAATCGAGCCACTCGTGCATATGGATCTTCTCATGCCGTGTCCGCAAGATCAGGGTTCTTCTTCTTGAGGTTCCCTAAGGATCATGGTATTTTGGTGTGGGAAACTCCCTGAAATGCCCAAGGAGTGCCCAACCCAGAGTCTGCCTGAAGTGCCCAATTTCAGAAACTTGCTGGGGAGTGCCCAACCCAGAGACTCCTGCAACCCCAGAGTCTCCCTGTGCCCAACTCCTGGAGTGGAGTGCAACCAGACGTCTGGAGTGCCCAACCCTAACTTTGGAGGCCCAACTCCAGAGTCTCCTTAGTGCCCAACCCCAGAGACTCTGGAGTGTGGAGTGCCTGGAGCCCTAGATTGCCAACCCAGACTCCGTGCCCAACCCTGGAGTGCCCAACCGCAGAGGCCTTGCCTGAACCCTGAAAAGGACTCCTGGGATGGCCCAACCCAGACACGCACGGACAACCCCGAGTCTGGTGCCCAACCCCACAGTCTCCCTACCCCACAAATCTCCCTGCCTGCATCTGAGTGCCCAAAGTCTGCCTGGAGTGCCAGAGACTCCCTAGAGTGCCTTCAAAATTCCTGTCTGAGAGACTCCTGCACAAACTCCAAGTGCCCAGATTCTTACTGGAGTGCCCAACCTCAGAGACTCTCAGGCCCAACCCTAGAGTCTCCCGGGGTGCCCAACCCCAACCCCAGAGAATTCTGGGGTGCCCAAGACAGTTGTGGAGTGCCGGAGTGCCCAAATCCAGGAACTGCTGGAGTGCCCCACTTAAGAGACTTCCTGATTTCCAGAGACTTGCTGGATTGCCGAACCCCAGAGATTCTGGAGTCCGCAGCCCAGACACTTCCTGAAATGCCCAACCCCAGAGATGAGTGGAGTGCCCCCCTGGAGTGCTGCCCAACCCCAGAGACTGCCTGGAGTGCCTAACTTTTAGAGACTCCCTTGAGTGCCTACCCCAGAAACTCCCTGGAGTGCCCAAATCCAAATCCATAAGGTGGGGACGTTCGAAGTAAAATAATTTCAGTTTTTTATTGGATGGTCCTGTGTGGTTCACAGGCGCGTTATGCGCACTACTCAGACTGCTGTCGCAAGTGGCCTTGGTCCTTGGTGTTCAAGAGGTTCAACTCTCACAAGGGTTTCTGTTAGCCCCCCCCCCCCCCCCCCCTGCCCAACAACGTTGGACATCTACCAGAGTTCGCCGGGCCAAACAACTCATGTTCTTTAGAACCAGCGAGGTCTGTGGGGGTCGCAGAACCACACTCCCCCCTGCCACCCGCCCACCCCAGCAAAACCTTTGCAAGTAGCCAACTGAGCCTCCACTAGATTTTTGCAGGACATATCCACGTTGCGCATCATGTCCAAAAAGGGCCACACGAAGGAGGCGGAAAGCCAACAAAAAAGGAGAACAAGACCGCCCCTGTAAGGAGTCCGAAATGGAACCACGAGGCGCTAAGGTGAAAACTTTTTTGAGCAGTCATTTGCATGCCGTCAACTCCCCAAACCCTGCAATTAAGGCCTACATATTCTCGAATTTACTTGACGCATTTTGAAACAGGCTCCTTAAGGTGTTTTCCGAACCTAAGCCCTGGCCCTAAGCCCTGAACACCTCAACACCACCAAGAAGGACTTAAACCCTAAGCCAACTCAACCCTATAGATGACTTTCATAGGTACCTACCAGCTGCTAGGCACGTGCTCCCACGCGCTGAGCCGCGCATGACAAAGGCCGGACCGAAAACTGGGACGAGTGTCGAGTTGAGCTGGGTCAGGGTGGTTATGCCGCTGTTGCCTGAGCCACGACAAAAAACTGTCTGAGCATGTGACCAGAGTATACGGGTTCTCAAAAGCTTAAGAAAGATTATGTATACGATGCCCTCGGGACGAGAAGCCTGCGGTGCTGCCAAGACCCCAACCCCTGCAAGCCACGATAAAAACTGAAGGCAACATGATATGTCGGTGCTCAATCGGAAGAGTCACGGCAGTTATGAGACTATAACCTACACTCAAGACGGCACCAGCATGATCCCCACCGCAACCACTGCAACCACCGCCACCACCAGCACCACCAAAAAAATCAACACTCATTTGTTAAACTAAAGGACCGGATAACCTCCACATGTCTGTTTTTTTTGGGACGGCCGCTCTGGATTGATTTCCCCGGTGTCGCATCCAACTTGGCCTGTGAAACTTCAAGCCCAATTCTCTTGTTTTCCAGCAAAAAAAACCAACTCGGCCTGCAGAATCGCAGGCCTATGGAACTGTACTACGAAGATGTGATCGTCCAACGGAAAAAATACTCTTTGATGTATATGTATTTTTATCCCGTGTCGGTACTGCCCCCCCCACCCACCCACCCATGGTATACCCCCCCCCCCCCCCCCCCCCCCACCCCCCCCACCCCCCGTAAACCCTGAACTCAGGGCCCAGGCGCCCCCCTACAGAGGGGGGCGGCGCCCAAGCCCTTATGGTGAAAGTCGACCCAGGTCGCTTGCCCGCCTCCTGCTACCCTAAGGCCCCCAGGCCAGGAGGACCCAGACCCCTCACCGCAGCGTGTCCAGGGACGGAGAATGGGGTTTGGGTTGAGGGTTTAGGGTTTAGGGTTTAGGGTTTAGGGTTTAGGGTTTAGGGTTTAGGGTTTAGGGTTTCGGGTTTAGGGGTTTAGGGGTTTAGGGGTTTAGGGGTTTAGGGTTTAGGGTTTAGGGTTTGCTGTAATGGGGCGTAGATGCTGTGAAGGTTAGGATGCAGCAGCGGCTCGAATGCTTCGGCAGGTGCGAAGAGCTCTGGCCCGATTGTGGAGGGCCATCTAATATTTTTCTCCCACCCCACGCAAACCTATTCCTTTAACCCCACCCCCCCCCATCCTCTCCTGGCCCCCCCTCTAACCCCCCCTCACGCCCCTCCCCTTTTGGGCCTGACCCTAACGCGCCTGACCCCCCCCTTAATCCCGCTGACCCTCATTGCAGGCCAGGAAAGGGCCAGTGGGAAGGGGCCGGGAGGGCCAGAGTATTGGGGGGGTCCGGGGGGTTGGGGGGCCAATGTGGGGGGAATGCGGTCCAAAAGACGTTTTTGAGCACCCACCCTGCCCAAACCACAGGGGGGCGGTGCGCGGACCCTAAACCCTAAACCAAACCCCAACCACACCACCCCACAGGGGGACCCAAACCACAGGGGGGCGGGGCGCGGACCCTAAACCCTAAACCCTAAACCCTAAACCCTAAACCCTAAACCCTAAACCCTAAACCCTAAACCCTAAACCCTAAACCCTAAACCCTAAACCCTAAACCCTAAACCCTAAACCCTAACCCCTAACCCCAACCACACCACCCCACAGGGGGGCCCAAACCACAGGGGGGCTGCGGGCGCAGCCATCGCGGCTGCTGCGCTACTCCAAGATGCTGGGGATCAGTGATTGGGGAGTTTGGGGAGACCGCAGTTTGTCGACGGGTTCTCGGCCTGCTTCTTTCTCAGCATGCTGCCGGTGCTGCCGCACATAGGCCTAGCTTGTCCGCATCGTCTCCTGAGCCCTGCCCTCGTGCGCTCATCTGGCCCGCTGTATGAGCCAAATCGAGTTCTCACAGTGATTCTCACACTTCTCGGTCTGTCCCTGGTGGTAGGCGTTTCCGCCTGCGGTCTGCTGGGGGGTGTTTTTCTGTTTGTTTCCTCACATCTCTCACAAGCAGGGTTTGTGTGTGTGTGTGTGCAGAGTTTTGGTGTTTCGCCAGTTTAACATCAGACGTCGCTTCTTGACGAATGTGGCCCTGAGTAGGAAGTCTCTATTTCGAAGGTATACATAAATATATATATATATATATCTCTCTCTCTCTCTCTCTCTCTGGGCATCGGGGTTTAGGGGTGGCCGGGGGTGGCGATTTTTGATCAGTCCCCCGACTAAGTGTGGTCACTGTTATGACTGCTCTCGTTCTTGCTGTGTAAAATGCTTCTAGACAAAGACGAGTGGGAGTTTGCGCCGGAAATAGGTCCAAATAGGTCTTTTCTTGGTGGATCTCAGGATGAAGATCCCTCCATTTGAGCAGGGTGCGCACTAACAGGACACCGTGATGTTCAGAAGTGAAAGAATCAGAGCGAGACATAGCACTCAGACACTCGAAGCTAATGGAAGCCTCTCGTGATACCTACAACGAGTCCCTGTCCCTGTAGCATTCACGAATGCCCACAAACCCTCCACAGACCCTGGACGGTGTAGTCGTCCCTAGACAATGCCTGAAACTCCCATGTCGTCCTTCTGCGGCTGGTGTTAGGCACGATCCCCACAAGTGTCGCTGGTTCACCCCATGAACCTTCAGATTCCACATACATCAAGTCGGCAACGTGCCGACCTCCCGCCTGGTGTGCTTCAAGTGTCCCTTGCACCGAACATTCTAAACCCTAGCCTGCCTAAGCAACAGGTGCAGAGGGATTTCTAGGTCGTAAAAGATCCCTGCCCTTTGAACCCTTAACCTAAACCCCCCAACCCTGACCCCGACTTTGCGCATTGCCTCCGGGCTGATCATACTTGTCGGGATAAGCCCTCCAGATTCCTTGGCCCGCGCTTTGTTTCATGAAGGTCCTAAGGTCCTAAGTTTCAGGGTTTTGCACACCAAGAAGAAGGTCCATTCAATCACCTTGCGGGTCATACACTCTCCGTGTTCTGGCGGTTGGCGTTGCAATAGTGAGTGATCCTGCTACTCAAAGCCAAGCGAATCGACGAGGAGCATTGGTTGTCCTACTACTGCCACTGCTACTGCTACTGGACGACCACGACTCTACAACTACTACGACTACTCCGACTACGACGACGACTACTACGACGACGACGACGACGACGACGACGACTACTACTACTACTACTACTACTACTACTACTAGTACTACTAGTACTACTAGTACTACTAGTACTACTAGTAGTACTACTAGTACTACTAGTACTGCTACTGCTGACGCTGCGGCCACTCCTACAACAACAACTACTACTACTACTACTACTACTACTACTACTACTACTACTACTACTACTTCTACTACTACGACTACTACGACTACTACGACTACTACGACTACTACGACTACTCCGACTACGACGACGACTACTACGACTACTACTGCGACTACTACTGCGACGACTACTACTACTACTACTACTACTACTACTACTACTACTACTACTACTACTACTACTACTACTACTACTAGGCGTCACGTTCTTAATTGATCGCAGGGGTTTTGTGGCGTGCAATTTTCGTGTTAAGAGACGAAAACCTCGGTATTTACAGTGTTTCCTGGCTTTGTCCGTTTACGGACACGAAAAATGGACGTGTAAAAAGTCCCGCAAACTACTTTCAACTACTTTAGGCGCAGGAGGAAAACATCGGTATTTACAGTGTTTTCGGGCTTCAAAAACGGTCAATTACAGGGCCTACTTTGCGCAGACGTGTTCTCAGAACAGAGGAAAAGACCGGTATTTACAGCGTTTCGCGGGTTTTCTAAGATGTGGCCAAACTTGTCCTTAAACCCGAACGCCTCCAGCAAGCCGAACAGTCGTGCACCCTGAAATCCGAAACCCCGAAACCTGAAGCAAGCCCAAGAGTCGTGCACCCTTAAAATCTCAACCCCACAGCGTCAAGCACGTCCCCAGAAAAAACACAAAACATCTGGAGCCTGAAACCCCAAACCCCATGTGTACCCTGAATGACAAAGCAGTCCCACAGTGCACCCCCTTAAACCTTAAATCCCATAGAAAAAGCCCAAAAGTCCTTTCACCTTACAGCCTCAACCCCAAACCCTTCCCTTAAACCCTCAACCCCAAATCCCAAAAAAGCCCAGAAGATCCCTAAACCCTCCACTGTGAATCCCAAAAAGCCGAAAAGATCCCGAAACCCTCCACTGTGAGCCCAAAAGGTCTTACCCTTAAACCCTAAACCCCAAATCCCAAAAAACCTCAAAAGGTCTCTACCCTCAAGCCCCAAACCCTAAACCCTCCACTGTAAGCCCAAAATGTCTTGCCCTGAAACCCTAAACCCCAGATGCCAAAAAAAACCAAAAGATCTGTAGGCTGAAACCTCAAACCCCATATTTCCACTGGAAGCCCAAAAGGTTCCCAAAAAAGCCCAAAAGATCTGTACCTGCAAACCCTAAACCCTCCACTGTGAGCCCAAAAGATCTTGCCCCTAAACCAACCAAAAAAACAGAGGAAAACAGTAGACAGCGTGGTCAAGCGTGCACAAAGCCCAGCACGACCCCCATGTGTGCACAAAGCACAGCACGTAATTACCCCCCCACCCCCCCCCCCCAACCCCTCAGCATGGTCATGTGTGCACAAAGCACAGCACGTAATTACGTAATTACCCCCCCCCCACCCACCCCCCCCACCCCCCCCAACCCGTCAAACGCAGAAAAAACCAGAGAAAACGATAGAAAAAGTCAAAAAACAGCAGAAAACACCATGATCAGTTAAGAGCGTGTACTACTACTACTACTACTACTACTACTACTACTACTACTACTACTACTACTACTACTACTACTACTACTTACTACTACTACTACTACTACTACTACTACTACTACTACTACTACTACTACTACTACTACTCTACTACTACTGACTACTTACTACTACTGCTGCTGCTGCTGCTGCTGCTGCTGCTGCTGCTGCTGCTGCTGCTGCTGCTGCTGCTGCTGCTGCTGCTGCTGCTACCACTACTACTACACTACTACTACTACTACTACTACTACTGCTACTACTACTGCTACTACTACTACTACTACTACTGCTGCTGCTACTACTACTACTACTACTACTACGAGTACTAGTACTAGTACTAGTACTACTACTAGTACTACTACTACTACAACTACAACTACAACTACTACTATCACTATTACTACTACCACTACTATTACTACTGCAAATAGAATAAGCAAACGGTACAATCAAAAAACTGTTTCTTCTTTCCTGATTTGATCATCACAAGGTTTGAAATCCATAAATAGTTTTGTTTGACATGCTAGTCACCATGACAACAAATCAAAGAAGTAAAAAGCCGCGTTTGTCGTATTTGAAAACTGAAAAAAATTGAACAAAGAAAAATCACACCAGCGTTTGTAAAAACTGGTGTTTTGTTTTTTTTTACAAAAAACAAACAAAAGTGAGCCTTTGGAAAAAACAGATGTGTTTTGATCAATGCAGATTTTCACGCAGACTTAAAAAGTGTTAGAACAAAAAATTAGTTTATCTCTTGCGCGAATAATCTCGAGACAATCTGAAAACAAGACAAGATGAGCCTCCTACTTTTTGCAACTATGGTTACCAAACTGGTCTGGCAAAAACAAAATCGAGAATTTCAACCCCAACATGCACATACCCTCCAGCCAACGTGAAAAACAAGATATTGTTGCGCAATGTTGATGGTCACAATTGGCATCAATAATCTTGATGCAAGGCTCCCCAGCTGACACACTGCTCAGCGCATTGCGGGCCGTCGCGGTGGATGTCTCTGCGTGTGAGCCACCACCTATCCGACGCAGGCAGCAGCATTTCACATCGCCAGTCAGCAACCGTGCGTGTGATGGCCGGCAGCCTTCGAAGTGGGTGATGTTCCGGTCGCCTAGCAGGTCGCTCCAGAGGTCGAACATCACGCCAATTGCCGCCATGGTGCCAGGATTGACGTCTGTGGGGTTCTTGTCGATCAGCGTTTCCTCCGACGTGCCCTGCTCGAACAGGAAGAAGTGGCCCTTGTAGCCACGTTTCATGCCCCGAAGTATGCTCAAAGGGTCGAAAGCGCGATGAGACTCGCGTGCCAACAAGGCTGCTCCATCGGTGGACTGTGCCGACTGAAAAGGGTAAACAGTAGACCCAGACAAGCAGACTGTCGCTTTTGGCGCTCAGCAGAGGAGACAGGTCTTGTGTTCTTTCAGCTTGTCTTAAGTCAGCTTGAGCATCTTCAAGCTATAGCCTTGCTTTCTCGCTTGGAAATGCACTTGTGCATTCGCTGCTTCTTGTAAATTGTACAAAACTCGCGTAGCATGCCAGAAGAAGCCAAAGAGTACGTCAGTACGTTTTACATTGCAGCTTCGGGGAATCATACATGGCATCGGGTCGCAGCATTGCGTTTCGAGCGACAACAACATTTAGTTCTTGATTTGAACCTTGCAGTAAGGCCCGTGCATGAGTTTGTAAGTGCGAGTTCGGTTGCTGCAGCGTCAGATTTCCATGCCTTGCACGGATCATCATGGCTCATGTGACATTCCATGGTTTAAAGTCACTAAAGGTACGGAAACGCTTCTCGACATCAAAGTTGACCAGTCCAAAAACTGACGCCCAAACTGGCTCCGTCAAAAGTGGTACGGCTTATGATGTGAGTGGTCAGGTTCCTGTGAACTTTGAGTCACAATTCGCGGAGCTGGCACATCAGATTGGACATCTTGCGCGTCAATTTAGGCGGTAAGGGTTCTCAGATTTGACATCATGCGTCAGGGCGTCGGTTACTGAGAGGTGGGGCAAAAGCCTCTGTAATCACACGCAACTGGTCCTACTTCTGCAGACACCTGGGAGGTCCGGGCCCGTCTCAATTCTTGACATAAGTTCCGACGCCAAATTCAGCGCCGCAAAAGCTTCTTTGCCATCTTCGCGCTGCGTGCCAAGATAGAAACACCTGAATTCAAGCAATATAAGCATTGAAAAAAAGGAATCCGAGTTACATATGTGCACGGAGTCGGTGGAGTTCATGTAAGCGGAGTCGGCGGAATCCTTCCAAGGCGGAATTCCCTTTAGAACGGCAGCGGAGTCGAGGTAAGCCCGTTTTGAATATACAATAGTTTTTAAACCGGGGAAGGCACGACTCCGCTACATGTGTACCATCCCTCGTGCACCAATCCTGCAACATCTACGCTAAGATTCTATGGGGCGGGGGGTAATCTTGCTCCTGAATTACTTTTAAAAATTGCAAAGCTGCGCAAAAGTTGCTCTCCGTGTTCACTGCAAGCGACCTCAGCAGAGAACAAAAGAATGATTGTTGAAGCCTCCCCTCGCATCCTTTTTCCCTACTACTACTACTACTACTACTACTACTACTACTACTACTACTACTACTACTACTGCTGCTGCTGCTGCTGCTGCTGCTACTACTACTACTACTACTACTACTACTACTACTGCTACTGCTACTGCTACTACTACTACTACTCCTACTACTATACTACTACGACGATACTACTACTACTATACTACTACTACTACTACTACTACTATACTACTACGACTATACTACTACTACTACCACTACCACTACTACTACTACTACTACTACTACTACTACTACTACTACTACTACTACTACTACTACTACTACTACTACTACTACTACTACTACTACTAGTACTAGTACTAGTACTAGTACTAGAAGTAGTAGTAGTACTCGTACTAGTACTAGTACTAGTACTGGTTCTTGTTCTAGTACTAGTACTAGTACTAGTATTATTACTACTACTATTACTACTACTATTACTACTACTACTACTACTACTACTACTACTACTACTACTACTACTACTACCACCACAACTACTACTACGGGCCTGCCAACTTGGGACAAAAATCGGCCTTCTTGCAGTTGAAGCAGGGAAAGATTGGTTCAACAACCCACTGCAAAAATCTGGCCCTCGATGCTCGGAGGGAACGCACACTCGAAGCACATCGAAACAATCGTGCAAGGTCTGTTCTTTTTCCATCATGTTTTCCTTTTCCGAGATCGTGGCAACATGCCAGAAGCTTCTTGCATGGGCCCAAACCTTCAACTTTGTGGGACACGAGTGCTGTCCACCCTGGTCATGCATGCTCGCACAGAACAGAGCCGGGCAGAAACCTCCGCCAGGTGGTGGGGTAGGGTAGAGGGCGCTCCACTGGGCCGAGCAGCAGCAAAGCATGAGATGCGCTAAGAGCAGCGGGACCGTGTAATACCGGATGGTCGCACCGAAAGTGCTGATCTGTTGCTGGAAGTTTGAGCAAATGGCTCTTGAACCAAGCTGCGGGCCCAGCACCACGCATATCCATGCTCGGGTTTCCGATCCTTTCCGCTGCAACCACAGACACGGCGCAAACTCGCAAATTAAGGGGAAAAAACTTCCAACCGCGGAGAGAAATCCAAAGCTCAAAGCGATGCAGAGTATGGACCTGGCCATGCCTGACATGTCGCTCTATCTGTCCGTAGGTGTTTTTTTGTTTTGCAGTAAAGGCCCCGCAGACCATTCCGGCAAGGGAAACTATTTCAAGGTCTAAACTTGGCTGAACTTCTGCATGCTTCTGGACGCAGATCCTTGGATCCAAGTTCGAGTGCAATGTTTTTTGTTTTAGTTATGATCATGTTTACATGATAACGACTTCTTTTTTGCGGGTTATGATCACGGTTATTATAAATATGACCACGATCATGACTATGATTACGATTCTTAATTGGTCGCGATTTTGAATATTGAGTATTCGTTATTGATTCTTGAGACTAATACTGTTGTCATTATTGTTATTGTTAGCTTTGCTGCTGTTGTTCTTCTCATGGTCGTCATTGATCTTGTGATTCAGTGATTCCTGCTTTTTGTCGAAGTGCATGATGAAAGATGCCATGGCAGCGCATGATGCTCGCAGCCGCGCCGTCGTCGCTGGGAAGAATCTGCTGCTTGTGGAAGAGCTGTTGGCACGTAAGATGAGACGAGGCTGGATGCCGGAAACGGGTTGTGCTAGTCCCTGCAACATTCAGCCGAGCGAGCTGGAGCTCCGACGATGTTCAGGACTAGATTGACCAGCTGAGAATTTCAGCGACAATGTGTGTCAACGATTGAAAGCCACCCAAAAGAAGGCTGCAAGTGTACCGTAAGCGGGAGCTGCCTATGCGCCTGCTATCCACCACTCCGCAGCGCAGCGTGCTTGTAAGTTCCCAGCTCCAAACGAAAATTTTTCCCGACAGCAGAAACCTGTTGGCCCCATGTCCGAGAAGTACCGGGTTTTTGCGGCATCTGACATTTCTATGAAAGCAAAGGAGCGGAGAGTGTTCCGCAGCGGCCCTTCGCAGTCCCGACGCCGACTCTCAGGGTGTCTATTGAGAAGATTCAGAGGGCTTGGTGCATGCTTTGCCGGTGGTCAAAAGAGGTCCAGACAGTAGAGCTCGCGTTGCGCGTGCAAAATGCTGTGGCTTCCTCTTTTAGGACCTGGCACCCCTGGGTTGCACGTGCTCCAGACGAGTTGAGCGGCACTGCCCGGATGGCGCACTGTTTTTGGCGTGGGAGAATAGCAGCAAGAAACATCATTTCAGGAAGAATATGCCGAAGGCTGAGATTTGTCGGGATGCTGCGAGGGAGGTGAATGCTGACAGAGTATGCCAGGAATATTGTCGCGATTACAAGTGTGAAGTATTTCCAGGCTTGTGTTTGCAGGGGTTGTGTCACACAGCTGCGGCGCCTGGCAGCGCATGAAGTGCCCGCACCTTCGTTTTGGGTTGATGGCTCTAGGCATTCCGAAGGCTTGAGTTGAGCACCAATGGGATGCTGCCGAGATCTAAGACACAGGCAGCTCACATTTCCAGAACGCAAAGAAATCGAAGCTCCAGGCATGCGCGACGCTTCACACTCCTTTACCCCTCCCAGCCATCATGAGCAGAGTGAGAAGATTGTCAGTTCTAGGTAGTTACAATGGCAGGAAGCTGCGTCGTTAACATCAAAGGGCTGTGGGATTTTGTCAGGACGCACCCCTTGCAATTGGGCATCCTGGGGGATCCCAGGGACAAATTTCCATGGGGAGATTTGGAAGTTTCAATTTGGTGCAACGATGAGAACTCGTACATTGCACCGTAGTGTATGGTAGGAGCAGGTCTGAAGACCCTCTCCCGGCGAGAACGTGGCCGGCGCAGAGGACGGAGTCCAATTTGGGTGAAGCCCTACAGGGACCAACAAAGCCCCAGGTCCGCTGTTCCATGGGGTTCAGGGTTTAGGGTTTAGGGTTTCGGGTTTAGGGTTTAGGATGGCATGTGGAGACCTCATGATGGGGCTGCTTCCAGCTCAGAGGTGATGACGCAGTGAGCGACTTGTCGACAGGTCGCTGCAACACAGATCCTGCAAGAGCTTCGCGCGCCTTCACACCGCTGGACTTTCAGTTTGCTTATAGTTGCCAGTAAGACTGCAGTATGAAACGACCTAGTTATCCAGTTGGTGCGTTTCAGGTCAGTAGAAACAACGCTGCGCATTTGTCCCAGCCAACCTCCCTTGCTTTGCCAGTGCGGCCGGATGCACTTGTCACTTGGTGCACCTGGTGAGGTTGTATGCTTGACTTGGCAAGAAGAGTGGCAGAGCAAGAGCTGTGCCTCTCGTGCTACGAAATAGCCTTGATGTCCCAGAGCCTCCAAGAGATTCGCTTGGCTTCGGAATGCACTCTTACGCCCCTTACAGCCAAACAGTTCCAGTATGACATAGCATGACATAGCTACCGGCAACTAGTTCCTTTTCGGAAGTCTTAGGCTGTGATCAGCCCAGATACATCCTAAAATGTAGGCTAACCAATAAAAAGGAAGCAATGCTGCATGTTTTCAGGGTGACCCAAGATCCTCTGCTTTGCCGGCGCGGGCGGGTGCAGTTGCCATGTGGTGCGCATGGTAAGCTTGCACGTCTGACCCTGCAGGGAGGCTGGCAGAGCAAGAGCTCGACAGAAGATGATGATTACATATGCTTCGTGCGACATCAGACTTGAGACTTTGGTTAAAGCGCAAGTC